CTGTGATAGTATGATGGAGTGAAAGCATGGTGTCCTGTACTTAGACCATCGAGGTCGAACTTAGTCCAGCAAGAATTATAATTATATGCAATATTTTGACTTCCTTAAAGAAATATTTTGTGCATTTGTTGCTGAATTTTAGATCAGTCTCCATCAGCTTCAGCCACACTGTCAGTCATTCCTCTAGTCATTCCTCTAGACCTGAGGAGCCTCCCAGGGATGAGAGACATGAGAACTCTGTATTGAGTTACACTTTTATATGTAACTCTACACATCGCCAACTGGCTCTATATATCACATCATACGACAACCTGTCCGTCTGAAATGTCATGTAGTGCCCTCCTATTATGTAGAGTGGGGGAGGGGCCATGAACTATGCTCCGCTGTTATGTAGAGTGGGGGCCATGCCACTATGCTCCGCTGTTATGTAGAGTGGTGGCTATACCACTATGCTCCACTGTTGGCTTTACCTTCACCCCGTGTGTGCTAAGCCGGTTGGGCTGGCTTAGTCTTCCTTGGCGAGCCACCATGCCAGGGCTGACCCGGATACATACAGGGAAGATGCTCTTAGAATTCAATTGAACTATCGGGGGAAACCACCAAGCTATTACGACTATATAGCACTAGGAAGGGGTCAGGATAAGGATTTGGGATGGGACGAGGGGGAAGGAATGATGGCCAAGCACTTGGACGATCGGGGATTGAACGCCGACCTGCATGAAACGAGACCGTCGCTCTACCGTCCAGCCCAAGTGGCTCTTGTTTAGTCATTCCTTACATGTCAGCGCCTCTTTCGCAATGCGGTACTTCCCTCACCTCTATCCTCATCCCCATCCCCCACCAGGGTCCTAACCTCACTTCACACCAAAAAATCTTTCCTCAGTTCAATATAATTTCCTGCCTCACTTTTTTCTCACAGCGAGACCCTCCTGTTGTTCCACAGGAGGAACTTCACCATTCTGCTTTCATCCGGAACCTTCACAGACAAACTTTTCGACAAAAGCAGGAAACGAAATATAGAATATATCAATACCGACAAGATGAGGCTGCGGTCAGCTATCAGATCAAGCCTGACCTTTCACTGCTTCAATGTCATTAGCTGTGGTTATTAAACAAGGTGAAAACAGCCATCAACTATTTCTGCAAGACTGCAATATGGTTTCAAGAAGTTCGTTTCGGCTGCTGAAACCCTTGTTAAATCTCTCCACTGAACTAATGCGAGATCAGCACCGGACATTGCGGGAGTCTTTGGCGGGTATGTTACTGTGGTTTGCTGGTGGAGCTCCGAGCATTAGGCATCTCGGGTTCAATAGTCCGTCTGACAGCGGGGCAGAGTCGTCCTTCCATCTGGCAGCGGTGGAGAGTCCTCCTTCTATCTGGCAGCGGGGGAGAGTCCTCCTTCCGTCTGGCAGTGGTGGAGAGTCCTCCTTCCGTCTGGCAGCGGTGGAGAGTCGTCCTTACGTCTGGCAGCGGTGGAGAGTCGTCCTTACGTCTGGCAGCGGTGGAGAGTCGTCCTTCCGTCTGGCAGCGGTGGAGAGTCGTCCTTCCATCTGGCAGCGGTGGAGAGTCGTCCTTCCATCTGGCAGCGGTGGAGAGTCGTCCTTCCATCTGGCAGCGGTGGAGAGCAGCCAGGAGGACCACTTGTTGCCGTAGATCACATCACGGTGAGAGCCACAAAGCTGCCTGTCACTGAGGCCCCGGCAGGCGGCGGTGTTGTCATTGGTGGGTGAGAGGGAGGCCGTAATGTGGGGAAGACTGGTGTTTGGAGAGTGGTGTGAGGAGGAGCACTGTTGGGATTAAAAGAGTGTTTTTGAGTAACTAGTATGGGAGGATAATAGAGCCGCACCCCAGCTCCCTACCGCACCCCAGCTCTCTACCGCACCCCAGCTCCCTACCGCACCTCAACTCTCTACCGCACCCCAGCTCTCTACCGCACCCCAACTCTCCGATAAATACCAAGATAAAGTTTTCGAGGTAGTAATCTCGTCCCACATTCCGGAAACCTCGCGCCTGTTCAAGCTCTTGGATTTGGCGATTAAGCGACGACCTTCGTTCTTTGCTGGGTCTGCGTTCGATCCCCCGATGGTTCAAAAGGTTAGGAGCTCAGTTCTATCTCAAACGTCTTGTCTTGATGCCTCTTCTAAGTGCTACGTAGTCGTACTGGCTTGGCGCTTTCTCCTGTTATACTGGGACTCTCATACTGGGCTCCTGTAGACCCCATGCTGCTCCTGTAGACCCCATGCTGCTCCTGTAGACCCCAGGCTGCTCCTGTAGACCCCATGCTGCTCCTGTAGACCCCATGCTCCTCCTGTAGACCCCATGCTGCTCCTGAAGACCCCATGCTGCTCCTGTAGACCACTGGCTCCTCCTGTAGACCCCATGCAGCTCCTGTAGACCCCATGCTGCTCCTGTAGACCACTAGCTCCTCCTGTAGACCCCATGCTGCTCCTGTAGACCCCATGCTGCTCCTGTAGACTACAGGCTGCTCCTGGAGATCACTGGCCCCGCTCTCCTCGACTGGTTGGTTTACATTCATAATGTAAGTGGTGTCGCCATGTGCGCCGCCTCACATCGCAGAAGGTCGCCTCTCAATGTTTCACAGTTTACCTGTGTGTGTCTCTCTCTATGGCCGCGCACAGCAGAACCTCTACGATGTAGCGACGTCCTTACGTCTGTTCAACGTAAAAAATGAACAGCGATTACGTTTCGTGGTCGGTGGGGCGACGCCTTGCACTTCCTCGCGGGACGTTCACATCAGGAGTGACTCCAGCAGGATCCTTCAGGAGGATCTTGTCACCACACAAGCTTTAGGTTTGTGTGGTGACGAACGGGAACAGGCTGATTGAGGAGTGTCAAGGGAAGTTGGAAAGGACGTAGGGAGAGACGGAAGAGGAAGAGGGAAGGGTAGAAACCAGGGAACAGAACAGGAGGAAGAGGAGGAGGAACTGATGGTAGAAATAGGGGAAGAAATGTAACTCGATGCTTTAATTGCTCAAGTGTCGTAATGACCCTTGAGACAAATGATGCTAACGAGGCACTGTTTATAGCGGAGCTAGGAAGGGACGGGGAAGGGGGCGGGAGAGGTGGTGGGGAGTAATGGTGCTAGGGAAGGGGGAAGAGGTTGGGTGATGGGACCACCAGTAACCACTGGAAGGAGTGTAGGAGAGTTCTGGATGGCGGCGAACCATCACAGGGCGAGGAATCTCTGGAAGATTTGAGACCACTGGAGAGTGAAGGACACTTCTGAAGGAACCATTAGGGGGGAGTAAATTAACGCAGATGGCTGTTTGAGCGCTGAAGCCAATTAGTGATTGATGAAGTAAAGTGAAGGTGAAGGGAGTGTGGAGCTTCCTGAGGAAGTAATCAAGAGAGAGTGAATAAAATCTTGATGGTCCAAAACATTATATGAGAATTAATTGAGTCCAGAAGCAACCTTAATCTATACTGGAGGGCGTTGAGCGCCAAGCGGGGAAGCTTACACGCTTGAGAGATGAGAGCCCACGCATTGGTGAGTGTGCTGTGTGCGGGGGGGGAGTAATGTAGATCTTGGGGAGGCGTTCAGAGATGTATTAAGGAGACAGGGGAATACACTGGGAAGGGTGGCGGGCGCTGGGGTCTATTTTGGTGCTTGGGAGGGCAGGGGATTGCGTCTGCTGGGGGCGGACGAGTGCTGAGGACGGACGAGTGCTGGGAGTGCTGGGGGCAGCACTTGTGGGGTGGAAGATCGTGTAATTGGCGGCCATGGGAGTGAGTGGACGAATGAGGCAGGTATCACGTAAGGCAGGTGATGGTAGGGGATGAGCGGTGAGGCAGGTGAGAGTAAGGGACATGCGCGGTGAGGGGTGAGGGGAGAATAAGGGGGGAGGAAGGGGGTAGCTGTCATTCCACCCCTCACCCCTGTGAAGTATGGAGCCTGTGCAGCAGGGAATTATTTATACGTACCGAGAGGGAGAAATTTAAGCAACTCTTTCTCTCTATTATATTGTATTATTGTTTTAACAAAGACCAGCTAGGGTTCATTAAGGGTTTTTTAATGATGTTCTTAATGAAACGATAAACATAGATCTGTTATCCTTTATCAGCTCATCTGAAGCCTCACCCTAGGAATTCTTATTTAATGAGCTTATCATTTTTTCCTTTTGTTGGGAATAAAATGTATTTAATGTTTTACCATGCTAGGTTCAAGATGAAACTGAAGCCAACTATGTACCAGTCTTCATACAGTTAATTGACTGGATTTCACGCTTAGTAATATGATGAGAGAACATGTTCCAAATGCGAGTCAGTCTAGGAAGGAATGGTCACTGACTGAGTAATGTTCTTGAGAATGTCATAGCTTGCATAAAGATGTCGATGGCTGAGCGTCTTGTCTAGAGGTTGCCAACAGGTTACCTTGAGGTTACCTTGAGGTGCTTCCGGGGCTTAGCGTCCCCGCGGCCCGGCCCCGCCAGGTGATGAAAAAGAAAAATTTCTAACCCGAAACTTCACTATATTTTCAGTGTTGCACGAGGCTAGTGTGTGTACTTCAGGTGCAATACTAACAGCAACTTTCATGTAATTAAACGTTCTCCCTATACCTCAAGCATAACCACTTGGGGTGGACGGTAGAGCGACGGTCTCGCTTCATGCAGGTCGGCGTTCAATCCCCGACCGTCCTAGTGGTTGGGGCACCATTCCTTCCCTCCGTCCCATCCCAAATCCTTATCCTGACCCCTTCCCAATGCTATATAGTCGTAATGGCTTGGTACTATCCCACGGGAGACATCTCCCGTCACTCAAGGTGCAGTCGCATCTCCACAGATCTCCAGTATCAGCTCTTGATACTAGTAATGGCTCAAAAGGGCCACCACTTACGGGCTATTCATGCCCGTGCCATCTTTTGGGTGGCTTAATCTACATCAATCAATCAATGGTACTATCCCTTGATAGTTCTCTTCCCTTGCCCCCTTACCTCATCTCGGGCTGGATAAACATTCAGTGTTTGGTTCTGGTGTTCGCAGGGCCGCCGGACCCTCCCAAGAACTGCTCCATCGCCAACCAGACGACGGACACCATAGAGGTGGAGTGTGTAGCGGCTTTCGACGGCGGTCTTCCCCAGACATTCTACATGGAGGTAGGTGAACTTTCCCGAGGTACTGAGTGAGTAATATCTCGTAGGAGTCACAGTGATGGGTACCTATCTGGGGTCAGAGTGAGGGGTACCTACCTGGAGGTCAGAGTGAGGGGTACCTACCTGGGGTCTGAGTGAGGGGTACCTACCTGGGGGTCAGAGTGAGGGGTACCTACCTGGGGGTCACAGTGAGGGGTACCTACCTGGGGGTCAGAGTGAGGAGTACCTACCTGGGGGACAGAGTGAGGGATACCTACCTGGGGGTCACAGTGAGGGGTACCTACCTGGGGGTCACAGTGAGGGGTACCTACCTGGGGGACAGAGTGAGGGGTCCCCAGATACTCTACATAGAGGTAAGACAACCAACCTTCCTGGAGGCCATAGTGGGTATTAAACTTAAAATAATGATTGACTGAGATGTATATCGAGTCACAGGTAATCCAGGTAGTCAGTATATTTTGTTCTGCACTGCTCATTTATGTCTTTAATGTTATTGAGTACCTCCGGTGTGCTCTTTACTTAATAGTTATTTATGTATGTTTCCCGATGGTAAAATAATTAATCTGAGTGTAGTATTAATATTGTAAATTAATGGCAGAGAGCCACGATTTAATATTGATGATTATCATACAATGATAGAGTGATGAGTGCCTCTGGGTTATTTAGGCTTGGTGTTGGGCTTAAGGCCTATTAACATCTGGAGGGTAGTTAAAGCCCCAACAATATCTTACAGATCAACCAGCAAGTATTATTTATTTCCTTGGACTCTCAATGTATATATACCTGGAAGCGGATACACTCACAAGTCGAGCCTGGCCTCGGGCCGGGCTTGGGGAGTAGAAGAACTCCCAGAACCCCATCAAGCAGGTATCAAGCAGGTGTATATATATCCCTTGAATGTCTATATTATACAGTGAAAACGAATAACCAGGAATAATTTGATTTTAGGCAAATAAAAGCAAGGATACATTAGCATTGTTGATATCTATATGTTGTGTTTACTTCCTGATGATTAGTAATAGTCTGGATCAAGTCATTATAAACCAAGCACGTTTGTAGTACTCTCAAGTGATGGATGGACGATAGTAGACTATTGATGGTTATTGGTAGACTATGGAGAGGTGAGCATTATGTGAGGTGAGGACGGAGCAGGCGTGTGTGAGGTGAGGACACAGGCACAAGGGACACTTGCCAACACAAGTTAATTACACCACCAGCAGGAGGTAAATGTATTCACCCTAGACTTCAGTATCTGCTCTCTCTCTCTCTCTCTCTCTCTCTCTCTCTCTCTCTCTCTCTCTCTCTCTCTCTCTCTCTCTCTCTCTCTCTCTCTCTCTCTCTCTCTCTCTCTCTCTCTCTCTCTCCCACACTCACTCTCTCTTAATTACCTAGGATTTTCCAGCGGTTGCGACCAGGTTATAATAATTAGAGTGTGTAGCAATGAAATCAAATAATAAGTCTTCTGTGTCAGATTAACAGCCGTCATCCTACGAAACGATAATTTCACCGAACGGTTAAATTATTGCTTAATTCTTTCATCGTCAGAGGTCAATGAAAAGACCACCAGGCACCATAACAGCAAGCTCAGTGATGGATTAATTCTGTTTTATATATTCTCCACTTCGTGTGTAAAGATTTCGAGAGAGAGAGAGAGAGAGAGAGAGAGAGAGAGAGAGAGAGAGAGAGAGAGAGAGAGAGAGAGAGAGAGAGAGAGAGTCGTCGTGCAAGTCTCCTGAAGTGACCCTTTCTCTCGCCAGGTGTACGACTCGACGACGGGGGCGCTGCACCGCAACTTGTCGTCGGGGGAGCCTCTGTTTCACCTGACGGAGCTCCGGCCGGGCCTGGCCTTCCTCATGGTCACATACGCCGCCAACTCCAAGGGCAGGAGCGACGTGGCCAAACTTGAGACTTTCACCCTCAAGGTGGCCGAGAAACGCACAGGTAAGGACTCGTTAAACTGGCCGAGGAACGCACAGGTAAAGACTCGTTAAACTGGGTAATAAAGCACAGGTAAGGACTCGTTAAACTGGCCGAGGAACGCACAGGTAAAGACTCGTTAAACTGGGTAATAAAGCACAGGTAAGGACTCGTTAAACAGGGCAAGAAACGCACAGGTAAGGACTCGTTAAACTGGCCGAGGAACACACAGGTAAAGACTCGTTAAACTGGGTAATAAAGCACAGGTAAGGACTCGTTAAACAGGGCAAGAAACGCACAGGTAAGGACTCGTTAAACAGGGCAAGAAACGCACAGGTAAGGACTCGTTAAACAGGGCAAGAAACGCACAGGTAAGGACTCGTTAAACAGGGCAAGAAACGCACAGGTAAGGACTCGTTAAACTGGCCGAGGAAAACACAGGTTCCTCGGCCCAGGTTCACTCGTTAAACAGGGCAAGAAACGCACAGGTAAGGACTCGTTAAACTCATGGGAAATAACTCTCAAAACTGGCTGATAAATACCCGGGTAAGTCCCCTCTTAACTGGCTGAGAAATACATTAAGGACTCGTTAAACGTAGAACAACGGGAGAAAACAGTAAAATGTTCTCTTTTCCTGTTAAATTGGTTAAGTTTTGAACTGAAACGCCAAATTCGGCGACTAATTTTATATTTTTTCAATAAAAGCTCCTTAATAACCTATTGATACATCAACCTCTCCTCCTCCACCCTCAAGCACACAAATTTGTACTAATTCGCACTACTAAGTCAGTATTTGACATATCCTTGACAACAACAGTATAACATATCATTCATGCTTTTTAATAAAACACGCTATTTTTTCAAATATAAATTAATATAAAATTTGTACCAACATATATAAAACAAAAGAAATGACGTTCCGGTCCGTTCTGGACCATTATCAAGCTCTATGAGATGAGATGAGACGAGAATGTGAGAAATAAACAATGAGATCAGGGGTAAACCACCAAGCCATTACGACTATATAGCAATGAGATCGAGTTTACATAATGACTTAAGGATAAAGAAATCTGCAGAAGGCCTTTAATGGCGTAAAGAAAGAGCTGAGCTAAAGACAGAAAAAGATTGAGAAGAGAGCACAGAGTGACCAAAAAGGTTAAGTCAGATGATGCTCGCTAGGAAAGATCCGGACTGAACGTCGTCTCTTTCTCCTCTTTCAGCTGTGTGGGTTGGGTGTCTAACTTTCAGCCTTGTTATCGTGACTTCCTCTCTGCATAAATAAACTTAAATATATATATATATATTGTTGGTTTATGTATAGTTAGTCCTGGGTGCGGTCAGGTTACCTGTTTTGGTTAAAAGTGGATTCAACCATTATTTCCAGTTACGAACACAAACAGCTATTTAATCTTAATACGTTATCATCGAAAAATACTTTGGTGAACTCTATGTTTATTTTGAGGATGGGCTGGGGGGTATGAATTAAAAAACACACACAGAATATTCGAGTTTCAAGTAGAAGCAAGGAAGCACTTGAGAAGTAGTCGCCGTGTTACTGAAATTTTTAAATTAATTTTATCAGCACCTTTCCTGCAACGATAAACTGTATAAACTTTTTAAACGAATTAATATATATATATATATATATATATATATATATATATATATATATATATATATATATATATATATATATATATATATATATATATATATATAAACACGTCTATGAGAGCTATTATGAATTTAAAGGACTGATTAAAAGTAGCTCTTGTAAGCTACTTTTGTAAGCTTGTAAAAGTAGCAATTGAAAATATATTGGTAAATTAACTTCCAACTAGTAGCGTTATAGTGTAAAGTTTCAGGGACACTCAAGAGACAAGTGGTTACTGAATTACAGCTCTTTCTAAGAGGAGAAGGTATGTAAGGGGGCCTCTATGTGATTTAAGTAAAAATCGAATACATGTGTCATTTAAACTACAAGCTTCATGCTTGGAATGATTCTATGTCAATCATTCTGTCCCAGCCATTAATCATCCGCACCTCAAACTGTTACTTGCGTTCTGAAACTTTTCTAAAATGTCTTTTTTCGTTGGAAATTACAATGGAATTTATCTGCAAGTTCTCACATCAAATGGATTTTTGATCTGGTAGCAAAGAACGAAATTTTACGTGGTAAATGGACATGTTTTTTTATCAGCGGTCTTTAACTCCTGCGTCCATCGGGTTGTTGATTGTGTCTATCTGTGATACAGCTAGGCGAGGAGTCACAATAATGTGCCTACCAGCACGGTAGACATGTTATGAAACATGTTGACCAAACCACACGTTATGAAACATGTTGACCAGACAACACACTAGAAAGTGAAGAGACGACGACGTTTCGGTCCGTCCTGGACCATTCTCAAGTCGATTGTAAATGGTCCAGGACGGACCGAAACGTCGTCGTCCCTTCACTTTCTGTCTGTGATGTTACTCACTATACATCTGCTTTTTCACGATTTACCATTTTTTACGAAACTGTATTCGTTTAAATATTATTTTTTATATATGCTATACTTATTTTTTCTTCTTATATTTTTAACTACATAGTTTAGGTATATATTATCACAACATTGCCTAGCTTTCCTTTTTCCCTTTTTCCCTAACATTTTCCACTTCCCCGCAGGTCCGCCAGCGCTGCTCGAGTTCACACCCTTCCTGGGAATCGTCATCGGGGTGGTTCTGGTCATCTTCCTCGTTGTTATCGTCATCATCACAGTTTTCAAGTTCCGGAAGCCACAGACGAAGCCGGAGGAGAGCGGCCCCAGCGAGGAGTACAAGGGCGACCTGGAGAACAAGCCGCTCAACGTTGGAGTTCTGAGGGCGAGGGTGAAGGAGGGAGTCAGCGCGGGGGAGGCGGAGGACAACGACCCGGATCTAATCCCCCACAGGGCGGGTAGGTGAAGAGATTAGATCTCACTGTGTGTGGCTTCGGAGGGTTTCCACTCGACATGAGATTGTTTCCTCTTGAAAATAAGGATTCCTGACGAAATAAGTTGACTGAGAGAAGCCATATCTAGATGGAAAATGATGCGAAGATCGAATTCTCACATATCATTTGAGGATTCGCAAGACCAGATCTAACAGGTCCCTAACCTACAAAATTGGGGGTACTCTCAAAAGTAGCGGCTCACAGATGTCTACATTTTCTATGCGTAGGTTAGTTAGGTTAGATGGGTGGCATGGGTTCGAGCGTTGTACTACCCCTTATTTTGTATGTTATGAAAAATCAGGTGAACGGGCTGGGTGAAGAGCTTGTCTTGCCGGAAGTTAGTTTAATGAACCATTATCAGACAGGAAGAGCTTCTGCCGCTGACTCTAGCTCTCACTTGATTTATGAATCATCTTGATGGTCAGTTGATTGATGATTGATGAAGGTTAAGCCACCCTTAGAGGTGGTACGGGCATGAATAGCCCGTATGTTGATGGTCAAGGATTCCTTCTGCTCTTATAAGTAGTTAAGTTGCCTTCACAGACTGAGGTGAAACACTACAGGTAGTATAGTGTAAATTTCATATCTCAAAACACACATTACTTAATCATTCTCATAGTCCTTCAAGCCCTTCCTTGTGATTAAGTAATAGGTGTCAGTCTTGCTTAATCATCCTAACATATCAAAAACATCCTCCAATTTGAAGAAAATTCCTAGCTATGGCATGACGGGACACCCAGCGACATGACACTCCTCCCAAAGACATGACACACCTAACGACATGATCACTTCAGTAGCGAGTCGTGCTAAAGTGGAAGACACTTCATGGGGCAGGTATACGAGACAGTTTACAGTCATGACACGACCGAAGTAAACTCAGGTGCCACCGCCGCCTCTCACCACACAAATCTCCCGCCACAGACCTGATGCCGTACCCGCACTACGAGGCCATCGACCAAGGCGCCGCTGCTCACCAGTCCCACTTCGGGGGAAACTTCGAAGTGTCGCCGACGGTGAGAACTATGCCTCTGCAGGTGAGTGTTTCCTCGCTCCTAGTTCCCCGTCCCTCCCTCCACGATGTTTTCCCTTACTAGGTGTAAGTTCCACGTCACCTGCCACTGTTGTGTTTCTGGAGCGCTTGCTTTCACCTGCACAAGTCCCCCTTGTGTTAAACTGTGATCTTCCTCTCGTAGTATTAGTTTACCCTATATGTTACTCCATTTTCTATGAGCCAACAAGCACATACACAAATTCAAATGTTTTTAATTATCAACGTTTAATTTGTGTATGTAACAACCAAAACTAAATAATTTTACATTTACCACCGTCGTGGTGAACGCATATTTCCATTTCTTATCAGGACTGTTCTCAGGCTCTTAATCCATAACAATAAACAGTCAAAATGTCATTGCATGTACCCAACGGGTCAATTTACGAAACTTTGACAAATTGGTTTGAGAAGCAGTTGCAATTTTCAGATAATAGTGGAAGGCTGGAACTAGCAGCCTGCCGCACGACTACTAGGCCATTTGCGGGATAAATATTAAATGTGGAAGGTAACTTTCTGGACAGGGATTTATCAAGCACTTAAGTGGAACCTGACGAAAGCTGTACATCTTTCCTCAAACATGGAGGTTTATTTTGCAATTATGAAACAGTTTATGAACTCCGAAACGTTACGAGATTGTTAATAACAGTAATAAGCGTAAGTTTCAAAGTTTCGAAGGTCGTAAATTGTTAATACGTATAGACTAAGCCGCCACGATCGAGGAAAGATGTACGGGTTTCGTAAGAGGAGACGCAAATACTTGATAAATCACAACCCACTCAAACCCTGGATCCAGGAGTGAGATTCACGAAGGAGTTACGCAAGTACTTACGAACTTCTACATCTTTCCTCAATCATTGTCGGCTTTGGTTACATTTATTAAACACTTTACAAGCACGAAAATTTCCCAATCAACTTTTATTAATGCTATAAACAGCCTCCTGGTGCTGTGAAGCTCCTTAACTGTTGAATAATTGTAAACAAAGCCGCCAAAGATTGAGAAAAGATATACAGGTTCGCAAGTACTTGCGTAACTGCTTCCTGAATCTGGCCCCAGGTTTTGACTATTATCTCCCGTGGTCATTCAGACACTAGCTGGCTGTGGTTAATGTGGTGGGGGGGCGTCAACTCCCCCCCCCCCTCCTCTGGGGGCACCCCAACTCCCCTCTCTTCACCCCCCCCCCCGCCCCCCCCTTCCCAACACTTGTATCCATCATGGAGATAACCAGTCTTATTACACCTGCTCCAAATTATATCAACAATTAATCATGTAATGAATTTTAACCCCCAAAGAAGCATAAAAATTAATTCCCTTTAATTGAACATGAAACTGCAACATATCTTGTGATTTAGAACAAAATGGAGAGTACAAATAGTTTTTGTACAAGGCACTTTTTTTTTTTTTTAAATACACACCTAATTTTGATTCCTTGAGTTAATGTACCTATGTTACTCTTTTCATTTTTAACCTGACGACTGAGGTGTCAGGCCTCACAGCACTGTCATATTCATTCATGCCAGAGTCACTCTTGGTCACCTTCTGTTAAGAAATTATTGGTTTGATCTTAAACAATGGATTGATTGACGACCTCCTCTCCAAAGGAGGGGGAAAACTGTCCTCAATTAGGTACTGTCTTCAGTATCAGTAAAGATGTCATTAAGGTTTTTTAATTTTTATTTGTCGTACTCTTGTAAGTAAATTTCCTCTCATTATCCACAAGGGTGAGTCTGGCACACAAGAAGTTGTGTGAGTGTTCACTTCTGATTATGTTCATTGTTTTGCTTCAGGCGTCCAGCCATCCTTCTTATTATATACAAGGTTAGTGAGGTGTGGACGCATGCTTCTGGCTTGTCTCACTGACTCGGCTCAAGACCTACGGACGCCCTGGAGTACATCACCGTAGTTGATACACACACACACACACACACACACACACACACACACACACCCACACACACACACACACGCACACACACACACACACACACACACACACACACACACACACACACACACACACACACAACACTTTGGGTGACACACACACACACACACACACCACTTTGGGTGACACACACACCACTTTGGGTGACACACACGCCACTTTGGGTGACACACACGCCACTTTGGGTGACACACACGCCACTTTGGGTGACACACATACCACAAACCCCCAGTTGTAACTTTAAGATACAGTTCCCAAAGGGCATCTTTCAGTGGAGTGACGGAACACCTGGAGATCCTGTCAGTGATCAACGAAACAGATCTAAAGTTATAATGTGAATTTCAGTTCGTGTTATTTTAGCTTATATTCAATTTTCCTTCACTAAACATGAAAGAAACGTAGCCTTCACTATGAGGAGTATATGTAGAGTTCACATACCACACCACACAGCTCTGACGAGATCCCAGCTCACTCTCAGAACTCAAGGGGATGATTATCAATAGGTTTACTGACGTTATCTTGACATGTTGCATGATGTTAACTGACCTCTGCATGATCAGCTTGTTGAGTTCGTAATAGCACTTTATTCCACCGGTGAAGATTATGTCTTTTTGATGAGTAGTCAGAGTGGTAGTTAGAAGCATGTTCGGTTATTTACTAAATTGCATTTCATCATCAGGCTGAGATGATGATGATGGTAATTTCGGCCTTATATATGACAAGCATAATGACATCGTTAGGTTATGTGAAGCGAGGAGTCCCAGGGCAGCTCAATATCATTCTGACACGGATATGTTGTCTATCAATTCCTCGTAATAATCCATCGCAATATTGATGTTTTTTCAAGAGTAATGAGAATCTGTTGCTAATAAGTTTGATCGGTTACCTAGGATCGTAATGATCTTCGCCAGGATGCAATCCACGACAGTTGCCTAACTCCCGGGTACCTATTTTTACTGCTAGGTGAACCGAGGCATCACGTGAAGGGAAACGTACCCAACCGTTTCTGTCCTGTCAGTTCTCAGCGGTTCCATCACCCATCTTTTTGGGTCAAATTCTTATTTGCATCTTTATTGAAACATGGCGTAGTGGTAGGCTACATATTCCACAATGTTTATAAAGATCATTATTATTCCTATTGTATGATATATAAGTCCTGTAAACATTCATATTGTATGATTGTAGAATGTTTTAATGTAAGATACATAAACATAATCACACTTCTGCATAGAAGGTGAGAGGAGTAACTGAAGAACAATGATGAAGATGATGAACAAAACATGGTGGAAAGGATGAGGATCAAACGAAAATGAAAATGATGATAGGTTTTAAGGATGTTAAGTTTGACTTATCAAAGTATTAAAACGAAACCTAGAAGATGGAAGCATAAAGAGTGGCATGAAGTAACAACCATAAGGACATGAGTGGAAGAGAACACACAAAGAGAACACAGATCATGACTTAAGAAGAAGTACGACGTAATGAATGACATCTTGGGGCAGTTTAAGAGGTCTGTGAATAAAACTAGATTTATAAATAGGTAAATGTAGTGATTGTAAATGTTCCCTGGAATGACAGAATTTAAAATAATAATCATAATTTTGTTAGAGGTTTTTACAGCAGGTTTCGTATAACAAAACTTTCAAGATTGATTCTTATAGGTGATTTGAATCGTAAAGTAGGAATAGAGTGTAAAACAAACATAATTTAGGTGGACAATAGGTACCAAGAGCAAAAACTAATGGCTGCGGATTGAAAGATATGTGCAGGAAATGAAAGTTATTTATTATTAACACATATTTTACATATTTTTTAAGCATGAGGGCACACAACATACACATGATAACGAATACATGATAAAAAGGGAAGTTTATAGAGACCAGTTGGTTATGTACAGAGGGAAATATGTTGAATTGTGCAGACGATGAGTCACAATAACGTGGCTAAAGATATGATGATCAAACCACACATCAGAAAGTGAAGAAACGATGATGATTTAGGTCCGTCCTGGACCTTTATCACACGTCTTGATAATGGTCCAGGGACCAGATTCACGAAGCAGTTACGCAAGCACTTACGAACCTGTACATCTTTTCTCAATCTTTGGCGGCTTTATTTACAATTATTAAACAGTTAATGAGCTCCGAAGCACCAGGAGGCTGTTTATAACAATAACAACAGTTGATTGGGAAGTTTTCATGCTTGTAAACTATTTAATAAATGTAACCAAAGTCGTCAAAGATTGAGGAAAGATGTACACGTTCGTAAGTGCTTGCGTAAGTGCTTTCGTAAATCTGGCCCCTGGACGGACCGAAACGTCGTCGTTTCTTTCACTTTCTGATGTGTTGTTTGGCTATCATATTGAATTATATTTCTAATGCAACACCACTAAGATAAATATTTGGTGGTCTGTTCACATAGGAACGCTGGGCAAGTAAAAACTGGATTGTAAATAGAAGATCGCGCCAGAGAGGAAAATTCTCAAATGGAGATCAACGTTGAGAACTTGTGAAACAGAGTTGGTAGATGAATAGAAAATGATGATTGTGGTCTTTTTGCAGGTGGCTTTATCCAGACAAAATGTGATGGCATGTGAAAGGTATACAATGAATGTTTAGCTAGAAATGGCAAGTAAGTATGCCTTGCTGGATCGAGAAAGTGACGAGAAAAGTTGATGAACCAAAAAATGGATTCTGTGGATGAAAACTAAAAGGAGGACGATGAGGAGGAGGAAGTATGATGAGTGTAAACAAAGTTACGAACGAGGAGGAGCTCGGACAAAATTTTAATAGCAAAAAATCATAGAGCATTAAGTTATTTTGGAAAGACGGTAGAAGGTATAAGAAGAAAACTGGTGGACGAGCCAACGCCAATATTAAAGATGCACTTGGGAGAAAATTAGGTGGTAAAGAATAAATTAGAAGTAGGGGGAAGGAGTTCTTTGGAAGTCAGACGCGTCGTGATGTTGATGAAAGAAATGCAAATGTAAACATGATTGATTCTGCCGGTGGGAAAAGCGTCCAAGATAGATTACCAGAAGTTATTTGCATGAAAGCGATAAATTTATCAGTGCGGAAGCTGAGATATGGGGAAAGCTGAAGGCACTGATGAAGTAAAGGTGGAAATACTTAAATGACGAGGAGAGAAGGAAATGAAATGCGTGAGGAAAAGTTACATGAAGCATGGACACGCGATCATGCATCAGCTGGCTGGAAACAGGAAAGAGAGCTGTGATTGCACCTTTAAGTATGAATAAAGGTGATCGCAGTCAGTGTAAGAACTACAGCGGCATTATCTACACTACAGAACGCGTAGTTAAACTTATTTTAAAAATAAATTTATATTTATATTTCACTCATCCGTGAATTTTAATTTAGATATTAGCGTAACTCTCAGATTAGTAATTTTGTCTAGTTTTCAGAACATTAGGCTGCTAGTTTTCATGCATACGAGTTCATGATGGGCTTGGATGTTTATTAAAATTTATACACTGTGATTGCAATATTATATTTTAAGAGATAATTCCCACTTTGGCTTAAATTCAATAAATTTGAAACTTTAATGAACGTTAAACAATGATTATTTTCATTATTATTCTGTAATGTTAGTTTTTTATATTAGTATAATTAGCAAGTCATGTGGAAAAGTCATTTACTAAATTTGTTTTTCTCTCTCTGTCTGTCTGTCTGTCTCCGTGTACGTCTCAAGCAGCATAACCAAACTGGGCCTGGTGGTGAAGTCACGTATGTGGAGCTGGCCATGCCCCTGGAGAACCAGAGTGGTGCTGCCACCTACAGTGGTGCTGCCAGCTACAGTGGTGGCGGTGGTGGAGGTTATAGTGGTGGTGGTGCTGGAGGTTATAATGGTGGTGGCGGCAGTGGTGGAGAACCTTGTATATACGCCACCATCGACCACAGGAGGAGCCTCACCATCAACCCCCCATCACAGACCGTGGCTTCTTCCCCTGCCAGTAACCCGGGCAGCACGTACGCCTCCCGTGACTACAGGAGAGGGAACGGCAGCTTCCACCACCACGCCAGCAACCCCAACCTATACGCCACACTGGACCACAGACGGGGCGGCACCACCACCACCACCTCCACCACGAATCCCAGTCTCTACGCCACTTTACCGCACCGAAAGGACACATTTGTCACCAGCATCAGCACTACCAACATCAACATTTCTCCACCTGGATTTAGAGACATCAGAATGAGCTTGCGGACTCCCTTGGTGAGGAGGCCAAGCGAGAGTGCTGTTTAAACGGAAGAAACGTGTAATGAATTCATACTACATAATTAATTCTGACAAAAATGGTCTGAGTTGCAGTTATCACATTAAATAAAAAATACATCCTGGTACAAACGAGTTGGTGTAAGTTCTGTAAGATAAGTTACGCCAGAAGGCAGCATCCGGGTGAACTGTCGTATAGAGTTTGTGTGTGTGTGTGTGTGTGTGTGGAAGAGAGCAACAGGCCTGCTGTCTCACAGCCTGGTAGGTGGACACACACACAGGGTGCTGGTCCACATGTACTGGTATTGGTGTTATGTGCAACGGTGAGCTAAATGTTGCCGGGGTTTAATTGAGGTCGCGTCTTGTACATATGATTGATCATCAATTTCGATTTTCTGTTCTTTAAATACTTAATATGTGTTGTATTTCATGACGATATACAGAAGTTCTTATCTACTTCATATTTTATAAATCTGTGACTGCAGTGCTCCCATTCTATTCCATTTGTAGCATTTTAATTTTATTGCAATTGCCTTATTTCAGTTCAGATTTAGAATTTGATAATAGCTAATATTTTTAAGTTAAGAGACATTGGTGATATCTTAGCAGGATCCATCAGGCTGGCTTCGGACACTGTCCGCCTCACCTCCATATTGTACGTGTGTAAATACCTGTAAATATTTAAGTGTCTAAGTGTACAATGTGTCTGTTTATATGACTAAATATCGGAACAAATTTACAAACTGTATGGTATCCAGTGACCTCATGAGACAGTGAAAATGTTGATTCTGTAAAGAGAGGGAGAGGGGCAAAGGAGGAAGTACCCTTTGCTTCCAGAAAAGTGACGGGACCAAGATTTGCTGACAAAAATAATAGGGCCAAGAGATGCTGACGACGTCACTACGTCACCAAGTAACGAGGTGGAGACATGTCGACAATGTCACGCCGTCTTCATGTGAGACAAGTTGACATGTCTCTCTCAGTTTCTTCCTTCTTCCGGTGACGTGTGGTTCTTGTTTTGAACTATTTGTCTGTGCCACTTGCCTGCCATCTTTGGGGCCAGTCTAATGGTATACTTCTGAAGTTTCTCCAGTTGTGTTTTGTGGTTAACAAGATGAGGATTCGATGCTGGTGTTGCACGTTCTAGAGCTGGTCAACCTTAGTTCATGTGGTGTACAATGCCCTGAATGATTTCTTCTTCTTCTTCACCTTCTTGAAGATGGTTCTCACTTCGGCCATCCATACATACGCTGTTCACGTTACCAATGTATAATTCAGTCTTTCTCTTAACTGGTGATATTTATTGTATGGGCCTTCTTTCTACAGCTTCCATCTATATTAACTTGCATTTGTTGGAATTGAACTCTAACAATCACTTTGGTCATTTTTGTAGTTTGTTTTCCTGCAACTTCAACTTCAAAAATGTGATTCATTTTTGCACACATTCTTGAAAATAATTCTGTCTTTTTTGGTAAATAACACAGTCATGTCAGTAATAGGCATATACAGTAATATAATATTACTGTGTATGCCCTCGTGGAAGACTAGAAGCCCGTTAGGTTTACTGAGGTCGCTCTAGCCAGGGACGAGGGGGGTTATCCTGATTGACTTATCCTCCACTTTCACCCTAACTTTCACAAAGTACGCGAAGGTCGATATCAGTTGTTATCTAATCCTCAGCAGGTTGGGCTTCATTTATGTCCGGGTCATTCATATATATTAAATCAGAGTTGACTGGTGTATTCTTCTCCCTCATTCTTGTGGGCGCTTTGACGTCTTGGCTGAGGAAGCTTCTCATTGCTGCCTTCAGCATTTTGGCTTTATTTCTGCTTTGTTGGTTTCTGTTTTACTCTTGTTGGGAACGGCTGAAATCTCTTGATGATGATGATGATAATGATGATGATGATGATGATGATGATGATGATGATGATGATGATGATGATGATGATGGTGGTGGATGATGATGGTGAGAGTTGAGGTGTTTCTGTCGCTTTCCTGTCCTGGCCTTAGCTTCTTTTTTTAAAGAGTTTTGAATATTACCGTAATTATTGTGACCCTTATAGTAGTAGTAGTAGTAGTCGTCCTCTTCCTCCTCCCCTTCTCCGTCTTCCTCTCCTCCTCTTCCTTCTCCTCCTCCTTCTCCTCCTCCTCCTGAGAAGATTGCATCTGTTATGACCCTTGACAGGTTGCTACCTGCGAGCGTGATTATGTCAGTGTGTTATCCTGTCTGTGTTTGTGTGCTTGACTTTAAATCTCACATAATTATGTGTTTTCTGTCTCTGACTTGACTGTCATCTGTCCTCGGCGCTGGCACGGTAAGAGGATCAGTAAGATTCACGACAGTAAGGTCGTGAAAAGAGAGAGTAAAGAGCGTGTGGGGAAGGTAGAAGGGAAGAGAAAACCGGGATTAGGTTTGGGAAATGGGAAGCGAAGACAGGCATAGAGAGAGAGAGAACTCAAGCTGTATGGAGAAGAATTATTGGAGCAGTTGTGACAAGTTGGATAATAGGTTTGGGTTCAGGTCCTCGGTGAAATGGGTGATTTTTGAGTGTCACGAATGAATTTTGGGTGTCATAGAGGATGATGGATGAAGTGGTGATCTGGCTGAAAGATAGGGTTGTGAGGTTTGAGGTCAGTTCTTTACCATCTCTTTCTGTGCCTCTCTTTTTTTTATCATCCCGTGCTGAATTATACGTCCATACACCTAGTCTTGGGACAAAATAATTGGCATCTATCCATTCAGCCATCCTTTCCTTTGCTGCTGCAGTTCTCTGATCTAAAATTATATCTTTCTGGAGAAAAACTTATTTGTCTAGGCATGTTTGCATACTGACCTATCTGTGCTTGTGGAAGTTGGCCGGGATCCTTGCTGACCCTACTTTGCTCCCTATTTTATTAAATTTCTTTCCTTCCATAGCCCTTAAAATTCTCACTGTTATCCTAGCTACGACTCCTTTTGGTACTAAATTTTGACTTGTACTCTCTCTGTTTAAATCATGCCAAAATGCCTATATTAACTATTTTTCGAAATATTTTGCATGTAATGACATTTTGTCTGTTATCATAACTTGTATTCATCAAACACTGTGTACTCATCTAATTGTGCTTACTTATTTTTGCTTGCTGGGGTTTGATCTACAGTTCTTTGGTCCTACTTCCCAAACTTCAAGGTTCTGAGACCATTCAGAACGTTCATATCTAAATTAGAAGCTGTGTGAAGTCGGTCTTAACCACTTTCCTTTGCTGTGCATTCCGATGCTTCACTATTATAACTGAAAAAATAATCCAATGTTTCCGTGCCTCATTTGTCCCTTGTTAGCGTACCACCTATTCCAAACAGTTTGCTCTTGTCTGCTGCCCTGTCAAGTCACCTCTGAATATTGTATGTGGTGATCATGTCTTCAATGACTTATCATCCAGTGATGTGATCTTTAATTCTTTTAATCTTTCTTTCCTTTAATCTCGGTACCGATACCTCTCAGCTCCGGTATTAATGTGACGGAATATCTTTGCATCTCTCCAGCATCGTTCATGTTTAAAGGTATTAGCGTTACATCCTGGGGCCGTATATTGTAATATTAAATTGCCACACGTTGAGTACAAGATCATGGAACACTCCCTGTCGAGGTTTCTAAAGGTAGTACTTATGGTTAGCATTGCAAATGCAGGCGATAATATGTTTTTGATGTGGACTTCGGGAGATGGGTTCGATGTGATATCAACCCCAGGTCTTTTTCTCTGTCCAATTCCAGCGGGGGCGTGTATGTATGTGTGTACTCACCTAGTTGTGCTTTCGGGGGTTGAGCTCTGGGGCCAGATTCACGAAAGGACTTACGCAAGCACATACGAACCTGTACATCTTTTCTCAATCTTTGGCGACTTTGTTTCCAAATATTAGACAGTTAATGAGTTCCGAAGCACCAGGAGGCTGTTTATAACAATAACAACAGTTGATTGGGAAGTTTTCATGCTTGTAAACTGTTTAATAAATGTAATCAAAGAAAGGAAAGATGTACACGTTCGTAAGTATTTGCGTAAGTGCTTTCGTGAATCCGGCCCCTGGCTCTTTGGTCCCGCGCGTGTGTGTGTGCGTGCATGCGTGTGTCTGTATGAGAGAGCAAGTGTGTATATATGTGAATGTGTATGAATGAGTGTATCTAACCCAATACTCTAATAGAAAACAATTTTCTAACATTTGTAAATGAATCTCCATGCTGCAAGTATTTTTGTGCTTGCTTAAGAATGAGTGATAGTGTTAGGTGGAAGTGAAAATTAGAACCAGTAGGTGTTTGTATATTTTGTACAGCTACGAGTAAGGGACATATCGTGCCTTTTGCATACTTATATTTGAAAATAATTTTCTTGTCTTCTCTGTGTGACGTCGGTAAATAAAATGATAATTTGTATTGATGACCTTTTATTTCACCTTCGTGTTTCATAACTTCAAGATGCTTGAGACTAATAAAGGCTTTGTTGCATATATATAATTCTTGAAACTAAATAAATGCTTTATTGCATATAATCCTTGAAACTAAATAAATGCTTTATTGCATATATAATCCTTGAAACTAAATAAATGCTTTGTTGCATATATTTGTCCACATATCCACCATTTTCAAGTCGATTGGGACGCCACACCACCAACAGCGACCGACCCGCACACACACACAGCACCTGGCGACAACTGAAGAGCGCATGCGCCGTGACTGTCCCCCCCCCCCTCCCCCTCCCCCCTCCCCCTCCCTCACATGCCTTCAATGTGCTACATTTAGGACCAGGTCGTGCGAGAATGTACGTGGCAGACATCTACGGGTTCTCGTCCGATCAACACGTCTGGGCACTTCTCTCTCGTAAGTGTTTCTCTCTCACTCATTTGTATGGTGAAGGCTCTATAGCTTACTCCTGTGTGATTGGGACTTGGATTGTTGATGGTGACGGCCACTTGGATAGTTGTTTATGTTATAAAAAACATTTCAGTTCTTCATACGTTTTTTCTCGTAATCCATTTTATGAAGTATTTTGGTCGTGACCTAAAGAAAATACACTATGAGCCCGACTTTTAAGAAAAAAAATATAAAAAAACAACAAATATACCCATTGTTTAATCTGAAATTACGTTATGATAGTAATTTCAAAGCTGTTCCAAAATGACCATTATTGTTATTGAGACGATTGATTATATTTACGAATAGGAATAATCAACTTACACGTGAAAATAAAGTGAAGGGGCAAGGTTTCGGCCCGTCCTGAACTAGTCAACAATCTCCCCCACGACCCAGCAATGGTTGGCAGTCGTAATATTAAAGAAAAGCTTGAGTGACTGGTTATAAAGATCATAAATCAATGGTCACCGAAACCGGCTTCAAACTGATTCGAGCAGGGGTTCGATTACCAAGCAGGATGAATCGTTAAGGCGTTTGGGCATGTTTCCTAGCACCTTACGCCTCTATTCACCTACTACGAGTTAACAAGTACCTTGTGTAAGGCAGTAAGGCCATTCGTGGCTGTACAAGCAGCTCCAACACACACACACACACATACACACACACATACACATACACATACACATACACATAAACATACACATACACACACACACACACACACACACACACACACACACACACACACACACACACACACACACACACACACACACACACACACACAATAGGTGAGAACAAATAAGTGATTACACACACACACCACACACACACACACCACACCCCACACACACAAGGCCCCGGCAGAGTAGCAAGAGCAAGCAGGTTAGAGAGACCCGGGAGCAGCTCGGCCTGAGAGAGTAACTGGCCGACGGAGTGTGAAATGGGACGACACTATACTTGACACACGTGACGCAGCTTCAAGAGGGAGGCGAGAGAGAGCCATGGGAAGAAAAACACCATGGGGAACAAAAGAGCCATGGGAAGAAAAACACCATGGGGGAACAAAAGAGCCATGGGAAGAAAAACACCATGGGGGAACAAAAGAACCATGGGAAGAAAAACACCATGGGGAACAACACAGCCATATCGCCATCTCAGATATCAACTAATCTCAGAAAATATTGAATTTTAAATATTTATATATTTGAATTCTATTTTAAAATACAAATTTTGCGGATACATAGTAATTGAAGGATCTTATTTACACAAGTTTGAAAGAGTAGAGCTTCCTTTTATAAAAGATCGGATTGATCTTCTATTATTACATTCTTGTTCAAAAATATCCACCCATTTGCCCGGTGGGCTGAGAGGTGAAGCTGGGCAGAGTGGGCTGAGGTCGATGGAAGTGGGTCAAATGCGCTGAGGGTGGTGTTTAGAATTAGTTGAGAGTGAAAGATGGTATGAGGTGGGTAGGGTGGGCTTGAAGTGGGCCAGCAGGGTGGGGGAGGAGGACGTAGGTCGCCTTCCTCTTGGTATTCACGTCCCTTCTCAAGCATTAAATAAGATGCCTCCTTCTTGAATGGCTAGTTTATTTAATCTCGCTCTGGGCGCTCCCTCCTCGCCGGAGCTGGGCGCGGGGTCCTCAGCTGTGATCCCCTGGGTGCGGCTGGGACAAGGTAATACTCTTTAATCTAGTTAATAATATTATAGAACTCTCAGATCTGCTCGATACTGCTCAAACTTGGTATAATTTGATGAATTATATTGTGACTTGCTGTGAGGCCCCAGGAGCTAATATTGAGGCCTCAGACCTGATATTGAGGCCTCAGACCTGATATTGAGGCCTCAGACCTGATATTGAGGCCTCAGGACCTGATATTGATGCTCCAGGGCCTGATATTGATGCCCCAGGACTTGTATCAAAGAGAACTAAGTGACTCGAGCTAAGAAGAAACTCGGGCAAATTAGAAACTATATGATGTCTCCTGTCATCTTCTAGGAACACAGTAGACTCGCTGGGAAGGAGGTTTTTCTTATATAGAAGATACCTAAATCTTTTCCGGTATGGTTAAAACTAACTAAACACTATTGGAACCGGCAGAACCCCTGCTGGGACCGATAGAACCCTGCTGGGACCGATAGAACCCTGCTGGGAGCGACATAGCCCTGCTGGGACCAATATAACCGTGCTGGGATAGCTAGAATCATGCTTAAAAGGATATGGAAAACAAGGATTCAAGATCTGAAAGCAAAGCTGGCCAATAAGAAACCATATTCAACATTCCTAAACCAGGAAAGATGCAGCCCATTCTGACGCGAAATTGCCTCGTTACGTAGTCTCATTGCTGCTTAAGAGTTAAAATTGTAATCATGGACAATTTATCTGTGAAAATAAGCCTTAAATAAATTTTAATTTTAACAAAATAAACTACATTTATGATGTCCATATACATCAATACATGTTCTTATGTACTTTTTTTATTAAGTCAAACCGAAAAAAAATATATTTTCTTCGCAGATCAGAAATGTAGCCATGATACCGAGCCTTCTTTTCAATATTATATGCAGTAAATTCAAAATATTAAATTTTTAGGATCATTTGGGCTCCCAAGTCTCAGACGAGTAACTCAAAAATAATTATATTCTGAACTTAAAGTTTGACCATTATAATAATGCATGTGGTTGTCCGTACTAACTAACTAGCCCGCTAACTTGCGCTCTTTCTGTGTCTCTTTGTCTCTCTGTCTCAGCCTTTGTCTCTGTCTGTCTCTGTCTATCTCTGTCTCTGTCTGGCTGTCTCTGGCTGTCTCTGGCTCTCTCTCTGGCTCTCTCTCTCTGGCTCTCTCTCTCTGGCTCTCTCTCTCTCTCTCTCTCCGAAACAGTTTACAAAAGTAAACCAGGGAGCCCAGGCTCGCCTGGTTATCAAATGACAACTATTGACGAAAAAAATAAGATCTTTGAACCAGTATACAGAGGAAAAGAAAGCTAATTTTAGGAAAGAGTTAGGAACTTAAGAGGAAATTAAGAAAGCCTAATTTACATTCTTGAGAATGACGAAGAGAGAAGTGAGACATGATTGAAGTATATGAATGGAAGACTATAACAAATAAGGTGCTAACAATATTGATACAAAACAGAACAGCGAATAGTAGATTGAAATTGGATAAATTAATGCTAATTTTGTAAATAGGGTTGTGGATTTGTTGAACAGGTAACACGGTAAAAAAATACACATGGGATTGTTGAATTGTTTCAAGCATAGGTTAGACATATATATGTGAGATAGTTTGATTTGGTATGAATAGGAGCTATCTAGCGGGAGTTACTAGGCCTGTAGTAGCTGCTCTCTGCGTATGTTGTTATAAATATAAGTCTTCAGTGTACATCGGCAATAATTACAGAAATATATTTAATCACAATAAAACTCAAATAATAATAATATCTATATTGGCAAAATAATATTAGGTAAATTATGTCTTCCTAAATGCATTAGATTCAACGGCATTTATTTACATATCAAAATTTTACATATTTATTCTAGATAAAATAATTTAAAAAATATTCACAATATCGGACGAATAATACAATTAACTTTATGACCTAAAAGAGAAATAACAAAAATTTAAATTGGCGCTTCCAACTTCACTCAAAAATAAGAAGCATTGGACAAAGTTTAGTAAAACAAAATGCATTGGGTCAAATGGAATATTTTTCTTAGTCCCAAAATCAACACACTCACGCACACACCCATAAATAGTACCCACATCTCCACACGCGAGCAGCCGGGTCGAACAGCCTGCTTGACCACACCATCAACCAGGAGGCCTAGTCAAGAGACCAGGCCGTGGGGGACGTCAAATCTCGGAATCATTGAAAGATATCGAAAAATAACCCGTTCTCAGACCATCACATTTCCATCTTCATATATTGTA